AAAAAAAAAAAAAAAAAAAAAAAAAAAATTAAACTATGATTAAAATTGCTTTACCCAAAACATGGTCCATAGCCTTCACTAGATTACCTATTGGGGCAAATAAAATTTAGCCATGTGAACATTTCTTATATTGTCTTAAAAATAATTTGGGTCCAATTGTCTTTTAATGAACTGGTAGGTTAGTATTACTATCTCATGACTAAAATTCTAAAATTTGGATCCAATTGTCTTTTAATGAACTGGTAGGTTAGTATTACTATCTCATGACTAAAATTCTAAAACAAAATCTATATGTATTTATTAACAGAATAATGGTGGGCATTATTCTGTTAGGGTGTGTGTTTATGTTTGAGTGTGTTTATGCATATGTGAATGTATTATGTAGCATATTATGTCTACTTGGTAAACCCTGGCATAGTCAGCCATAAATCCCTGAAAGAATTTTGTTCAGACTGGCTTCATAAGCTCTTATGTAAAATATATAGCAACTAACCTAAATGGTTTTAGTTCACGTGCCTTAAGTAAAGCTTTGATAAATAAGTTGGTTTTAAATTTATTGATAAAATAAAAATAGAAATGTCTTCAAAATTGTCAGCATACATTTTTGCATGAATTTACTAGTCAGACAGGATTATATGTGCCTCTGTGTAGGAATGCTGGTCTGAACTCACTCCATCCTCATGGTCTTTAGGGATCTGGCTTCAACAGTTACAGTTTTTCCCCAGTACAAATCGCTTAGCAGCTGAGAGAGGGACAGGAACAGAATGCTAAGATTGTAAGATAAGGGGAGTGACACTGACAACCCCAAAGATAAGCAACAGGAGACTGTGGAGCCCCTGGGAATCTTCCACTCCTGCAGCCCCTCTCTCTGGCATAGCTCCACTTTTGTCTCTAAGTCCCTGATAAGCTTCAACTCTCCCCACCTCTCCCAACCCCTCCAAAGTGTGGAGAAAGCAGCTGCACAGCACTCAGATGGATTGATACCCTACCCGATTCCTGTAAGTAACTGCCCATCGATATAGTAATATTAACAATAAACTCCTTGTAAACCATATGGAGTTGTCTCCTTCATTCTTTGATTTCAGGATACCTTATCCGTTTGGTGGGCATTATTCCATTAGCTCACACTCGGACACTTCTGATAAAGGTTTTAGGTTTATAAAACGATAAACCCAGTCTAAAAGAGAATGATCTTTGATTATGTAATTCTTGATAAGTAGGACTGTTAATATTCTTGGTTTAATGAAAACACCTGAGTCTTCTGGGTTATCAGTAAAATTACTCATGTTTTTAACTTTAAGGTTCTTCCTTAGGTGAACACCTGCTATTTACAGGCTATAAAAATGGTTAACAGGGAAGTAAGTTAAAATGATGACTAGGTTGTCTAATATCCCAGTTTTCATAAGAAATCTAGGTGTAATTGTTAAAAATAAATAATTTAGGTAAATGCAAATATAAACATTTATATATGAAATATTTATTTATATTATGTTATCTTAGATTAAATGATAGATACTCATTAATGTTTGTTCCCATAAATATATGCAATTATTGTTCATCAGTTAAAAAAAAAACTGACAATAGCACATGATCTCAAGATTGTGGAACAACTGGAAGTCTCATGCATTTCTGACGGGAATACAAAATGGTGCAATTAGAAAACACTTTGGCAATATATTTATAAAACTAAACATATGCATTAAATTGAAAAGAATAACTAAAATGACTATGTAGAAACTCCAGACTGCAAACATAGGTTGGGAAATCCAATACAGAAAATGGGCATTGGGCACACACAGATAAATAGAAACTCCAGATGTTAATCAACTTATAAAATATTTACTCCGTAAGTATTAATTCAACAAACATACCTAGACAGTACCTGGTGCTGTTCTATGCACCAAAGGTCAGTAGTGAACAAGAGATACAAGAATCCCTGCCTGACGTGTGGGGCTCAGGCAGCACGATGAGGAAATAAACAATCCGCACTTCTGACAGAGCTAAGTACAAACAAGAAAGTAAAGACAGAAAGAGGTGCTGAGATAGGGCCTGGGAGACGAACTGGCCAGTATTCAAACAGACAAGGCAAACCCTGGCCATACATTTGGGATTCTGAGAATCAGTCACAGTTCCAAGCTTTGGAGAACTGTTCCCAAAGGTGTCCTCTGACTTTAGGGGCTCCCCACCAGCCTCCCTGGCAGCCACTTACGAGTTAGATGCCAACCTAGCCGGTGGAGTGGTGAAATCAAACAGGGTGATGTTATCAAAGTGAAAGATGGAGAAGCTGCCCCCGATCAGCACGTCCCCAGGACGGTCAAAGCGTTTGCTCTTCTCTTGCAGCCACCAGCCTGTTGGCCCAGAAAGGGCAGCCCCAGAGAGAGCTCCCATGAGGGTGATCAGCACGTCCCCAGGACGGTCAAAGCGTTTGTTCTTATCTTGCAGCCACCAGCCTGTTGGCCCAGAAAGGGCAGCCCCAGAGAGAGCTCCCATGAGGGTGGAAAGCAGAGAGCAAAGCCACATGCCCGGAAGGGAAGCTGTAGAGCCGGTGACACAGCAGCCACGGTGTGGGGCCCAGTTGCATGATGACAGGGGCTTTTATCTGGGAGCTCACCCTTGATTCAAGACCTGGGGGCTGAAAACACACCCGGATCCCCTAGCCGTAGGGAAAACAGAGATCCTGAGCTAAGACTAGGATCTTAGCTCCATCTCCAGTAAACCCCAGGGCCTTTAAAAGTTTGACTTTCTTTTCCCATGGCTTCTTCTCCCCAAAGCAAAGGGTAACTAAGCAAAGGGCCTCATCTGTAGATTTCAGGGAGGAGGCCAGATGAGTCCCGATTGTGTCCACAGGGATCCCACAAGCCCAGAAACAGGTGAGTTCAAGGTCTACAATCCACTGTTTTTGGAGAAAGGTCCCAGGAGGGTAAGAGAAGCAAAGAGCTTCCCGACCCCTCATGCCTCACCTGGCAGCATCTGGAGATAGGGACATCCCCAGAGCTTCAGGTGGCCCTGGGTAAACACCTCCTGCTCCAGGGCCACCAAGTAGAGGGTCTCAGGACTCATAAGTAATGTTTGGCCCTAGGAGGTAGATCCAAGGCTGGCCCAGGCTGAGCTCATGGATTTCTGTGGTCATGGAGGCCAGGTCCAGGCAGGAAAGGGAGGCTGTGAGCAACTCCCCAACACAGAGCAGGAAAGTCAGTGCTCACAATCCCATGAGACATCGCTGTGGTTCTCTGTGCTAGCAGAAAAGATGCTCAACATCATTAGCCATGAAGGACATGCAACATAAAACCACAATGAGGTAAACAACTGTTCACACCCACTAGAATGGGTATAATAAAAAAATTTTTAAACAGAAAAACAAATGAAGTAAATAAGTATTTGAGGAGGTTATGGAGAAACTGTAAACCTTATGCATTGTTCGTGGGAATTTAACACAGTTAATTTATCTACTAATTTATTAATTTAATTTAACTACTTTGAAAAACAGTGTGGCAGATCCTCAAAATGTGAAACATATATAGAGTCACTAAATGATTCATCAATTCCATTCCCCAGTTCATATTTTACCAAGATAATAATAGCATCCACACAAAACTTGCACCTGAATGTTATAGCAACATTATTTATAAAAGCCAAAAGATGGGAACAATCCAAAATGTCCATCAATGGAGGAATGGATAAACAAAAGTGGTATATCCAAACAATGAAATATTATTTATCCATAGAAAGAAATAAAGTTCACATACATACTATAATGTGCCTGACCCTTGAAAACATCAAGCTAGGTGAAAGAAGCCAGATACAAGATTGTGAATATAGAACATACCAAAACACTGAATTGTGCATTTTAAAGAGTGAACTTAATAGTAAATGAATTGTATCTGAGTAAAGCTGTTATTTAAAAAAAAAAAACGACTCCTGCAGCTTTTGTTTTTGCCCTTATTTCTGAAGGATAGCCTTGCTGGGTAAAGTATACTTGATTAGCAGTTTTTTTCTTTTAGTATTTTGAATATGTTATCCCAATCTCTTCTGGCTGTAGAGTTTCTGTGGAGAAGTCTGTTGTTAGTCTGATGGGGACTCCCTTATTAAGTGACTGACACTTTTCTCTTGCTGTTTTTAGGATTCTCTCTTTGTCTTTGACTTTTGACAGTTTGACTGCAATGTGTCTTAGAGAGGACCTTTTTGGGTTGAATCTGTTTGGGGACCTTTGAGACTCTTGGATCTGAAAGTCTCTACCAATACCTGGGAAGTTTTCCACTGTTATTTCATTGTCATTTTCCATACCTTTTCCTTTGTCCTCCCCATCCACAACACCCATGATTCGAATGTTTATGTGCTTATAATGATCTGCTAGCTCTCTTAGATTCTCATTTCTTTTTTTTGTCTGCTTGTGTTATTTCAAAAATACTATCCTCAAGATCAGAAATTCTTTCTTACACTTCTCTAGCATGCTGCTTACACTCTCAATTGTAGTTTTTACTTCATTGAGTCTTTCAGTTCCAGGAGTTCTGCTACATTCTTTTTTATGGAATTTATCTCTTTATAAATTTCATCCTTCAAGCCCTAGATTGTTTTTCTTTTTTCATTGTGTTGTCTAAATGAGTCTTTTTGTATCTCACAGAGTTTGTTTAAAACTGTTACTTGAAATTCCTTTTCAGACATTTCAAGGGTTTCCTGCTGTATGGGGCCAGGTACTTGAGAATTATTGTATTCTTTTGGTGGTGTCAAATTTCCTTGGTTTTTCATATTTCTATTCTCTCCACGTTGATTCCTAGTCATCCAATCAAGTAGTTGCTTCTTCTACTACTCTGAAGTGGACTTTGAAGAGAGAGATTTCCTCCTGTAGATTTTTTTTATATTGATTGTTGAGTAAGATATATTAGTATTGGTTCTGGGTAGACTCTGTACTGTAGAATCTGTATGGGCACATCTGCCATATTATATGTCAGAATTATGTGTGAGTGCCTCTGTGGTGCAGTCACTGGGGCACTTAATGATTTCTCATTGAGGTTAGTTGGGACATTGAGGATGTGGACTAGCTCTCAAGATCTTGCGTGAAGAGCCTGGGTTCCTTGTCACTCTTTGATGCACACAGACTAATAATGAAGGGATGGAAAAAGATATATGACACAGATGGAAACCAAAAATGAGGAGGAGTAGCTATTTTTATATCAGATAAAATAGACTTTAAACCAAAAACCATAAAAAGCAACAAAGGAGACCATTATATAATGATTTATGTAATGATAAAGACTATTTATATAATGATAAAGGGATCTATATAGCAAGAAGACATAACAAT